GCTGGACACAGCAGTGCAGGTGGGGGCTTGTGAGAACAGAGAGAGGGGGACAATCACCTCTCTTGACCTGCTGGCCACACTTGTCTTGATGCATCCCAGGATACAGTTGGCTTTCTATTGCTGTCTCATAGTCAGTTTTCCATCCACTGCTACCCCACGTCCTTCTAAATCCACTCATCACCCAGCTTGTGTTTGTACTTGGGATTGCCCTGACTTATGCGCAGGACCTTGCACTTGTCCTTGTTGAACTTCACGAGGTTTGCATGGGCCCACCTCTCAAGCTTGTCAAGTTCCCTCTGGATGGCATCCCTTCCCTCCAGCTTTCGACTGCACCACACAGCTTGGTGTCATCTGAAAACTTGCTGAGGGTGTATTCAGTCCCACTGTCCATGGCAGTGCTGGTCCCAGTACCAACCCCTGAGGAACACCACTCATTACCCTACACACACTTGGACATTGAGGCGTTGACTCTGAGTGTGACCATCGAGCCAATTCCTTATTCATTGAGTGTCCATCCATCAATTCCATGTCTCTCCAATTTAGAGACAAGGATGTAATGTGGGACAGTGTCAAATGCTTTGCACAAGTCCAGGTAGATGACATCAGTTGCTCTTCCCTTATCCACCAGCATTGGAACCCCATTGTAGAGGGCTGCCAAATTCATCAGGCACAATTTGCTGTTAGTGAAGCCATGTTGGCTGTCCCCAGTCACCTCCTTGTTTTCCATGTGCCCTAGCATAGTTTCCAGGAGGATCCACTCCATGATCTTAGCCGGCACAGAGGTGAGACTGACTGACCTGTAGTTCCCATCCTCTTTATTTCCCTTTTTAAAAATGAGGGTTGTGTTCCCCTTTCCCAGTCAGCAGGAACTTTGCCAGACTGCCACAACTTCTCAAATACAATGGATAGTGGCTTAGCCACTTCATCTGCCAGTTCCCTCAGGACCCACGGATATATCTCATCAGGTCCCATGGACTCGTGCGCCTTCAGGTTCCTTAGATGGTCTCAAACTTGATCTTCTCCTACAGAGAGCAATTCTTCATTCTCCCAGTCCCTACCTTTGCTTTCTGTGACTTGGGTGATTGATGTCTGGAGCCCTTGCTGGTGAAGACTAAGGCAAAATGGTCATGGAGTACCTCAGCCTTCTCCATGTGATCAAGTCTCCCTTTTCCTTCCAGAGAGGGCCCATGTTTTCCCTAGTCTTCCTTTTATCACTGACATACCCATAAAAGCTTTTTTGTTGCACTTGTGGGTTACTGTTACTTGTGAGTTACTGAGGTATGGTCTAATATTAATCTTTCTCTGAAGTGAGCACCAGGGCTGTCTGGTTCCCGACATTCAGGGATAGTATAAAAAGACACAAAACCAATTCCTTTTCAAAATATTACAAGCATCTTTTATGTAGATTAAGCAAAATGGAGTGGTGTCATACCAATATACTATTAGTGGTTGTTAGCAATCAGCTTGCATAAAGGATTCTTTCAGCAAAATTCAGTAGTCTTTTTCTAGGCCATAAAATAAAATCGTATATATGACACATTTTCTCTTATTTTTTTTTAGTTAGTAGAATATGCTTTTTGATAACTAACTGGAAATGTGTAGTGAATTTTGTGACTGGGTCTGTTTTAACTCTGGAGGAATACATGCAATCTCCCATTTTACAAAGGCAAAATAAAGGTAAGGCTACAAATCTCTAAGAGACTGCATACAGAATTACAGAATCATCTAGGTTGGAAAAGACCTTGAAGATCATCTAGTCCAACTATTAACCTCACACTGACCGTTGTCAACTACACCATATTCCTCAGCGCTGGGTCAGCCCAACTCTTAAACACCTCCAGGGATGAGGCCTCCACCACTGCCCCAGGCAGCCCATTCCAACACCCAACAACCTCTTCTGGAAAGAAATACTTTCTAATATCCAGTCTAAACCTTCCCTGGTGCAAAACCTACCTACTGTACTGTCTTCATTTCAGAGCTTTTCTGCAAATGTGAAATGCAGTTAGTGATGCTAATTTCTGTTTGGGGTTATTTCCTCCAAGACATTTCTCCTGCCTGTGTATGTTCTCTCCAGTAATCTTGGTGCTTTGCTGCTGAGTCAGACTGACCTTTCTTATGGTCAGATTTTTATTTTCTTCACTGCTGTGTTGTCTGTCTGTCATAAGCAATAACCCCACCATTGTAATCTTCTTGACTGCAGCCTATCCCTTCCATTCTCCATTCTCGTCACTTTTTCTTAAAATCAGTGTGGTATCTGCTATCTTTTAAAGAACTCTGAACTCCGTAGCCTGTAGGTTTTCTGATTAAATTCAGCTGCTTTCCAAACACATGATGATATTATTCTAGACTGATTAGATGAACTGCACTTTGGTACCAAATGTGACATTTTCATCTGGTTCTAATTTTGTCAGAATTTGTGCAGTGCTTGAGGCCAAAACTTGACTCAATCTGACCTCATCTCGCTCAATCTGCTGGCATTGACTGGTCTCCTTTGGTAAAAAACAATCTCCTTACTCTGTGACTTTTGCTACTTTCCTGTATTGGAATTAAGTGATTTTATCATACAGATATTTAGAATACAGCTCAAAGTGATGGAGGTTTTTTGCGTATATTACCAGCTCAAGAGCTCCCAATTCTTGTCTCTAAACTACTTGTTGCTGCCCCTCTGCAGCCTCCTTCGTATGACCCTTTGTGAGGCCACACAAACTGCAGTAGATTGAGGAACCATTCCAGCATAAAAATAACCTTGGAAAAAAAAAAAAAAAAAAAAAAAAAAAAAAAAATTCCATGTTTCCAGGCTAACAGAATTATCATTAAAAAAGGCAATTGCTGGTTACACAGTGTTTTCTGAAACCTTCCAACTCATGCAACAGTCCTACAGACCATGTTAGAACATGGAAAGCTGCATCATGCATTACCTATTTAGCACTAGTCTTCTTCTATACTGAACGTTAATGCACTGTTATCTTAGGGTAATGTTCACTACTTTGTAGACAGTCTAGTAGCTATCATAGTTTGGTTTTTATTGAAAGTAATATGCTGAGTCAATAATGGAGTTTTTTCTGCTTGAGTTCTGCGCAGCTGAAGATTTATCTTTTTTTTCATTTAGCATGTAGCTGCATGCATCAGTTTGTTGTAACTGGTTGGAAATTGGTTTTAGGGGCTGACAGTTCAGACACTGGTTTCAAGCCATTTGATACAGTTACTGTTTGTGGGATTTTTTTTAACCATAAACCTCTGGGCATCAGGGTTCACTTGAATGTCTAGGAAAGAGTGTAATTTCAGATAGAAATTTCTTTTTTACAGGGACTAAGGCCTACCTAGGAGCAAATACAGTTCTTGCCTCACAACATGTAAGAAGTGGGACAAATGTTGCTGTTTTCCATGGGCATTTCTACTTGTCTATAATATACAATTTCTACTTGTCCGTAATAGCAGCCGAAATCTGCACTACATGTTTTGGCTTGTTCTGCTATTCATACAATATGTTACTTAGGTGTGTAGTAACTTTCTAGGCTATTCTGTTCTTGCCCATCTTGAGGGAATACTGTTTTGTAGCTTCTTGGACTTGCAGAGTTGTGTGTCCTTCCTTGTATGCTTACTTTCCAGTGTACTGAGTTTTAACTACTTGATTCAGGATTAAGAATCACAGTTATGCATCTCACTTTGGAAAGGATTTTAAAAAGATGGGCGTCATACCTTTGGGGTAGCCACCTTGACACCTTGTACAAACTTATTCAGTACATAAAATCCTGGAAAGCTCCTGTTCTTCACTGTGTTGTCAACATAGCACAGTCTCCCCAGTTCCAATTTATTTTGCCAGTCTGTGAGACAGGATCTCTGACATGTATCAATCTAACAAGCATGAATTGCTGATAGGAAACTGTAGGGATTTGAGCATATTTATTTGAGCATATGGTTAAAAGTGCTTACTGACTTTTTTTTTGTCTACTTTAAATAAACAAAATCAGTTTCTAATCAGAGAAGACAAGAGAGTTAAACTACCATAGTAACATTGCCCCCCGGGTGCAACACATACTAGCATTAATCTGCAAATATAACAGCGGTGATGCTTGTGTATTCCGTGGTGATAGCCTTCTTGTCTGGACTTACAGGATGAAATATTGTCTATGGTGTCTTCTTCACATCATCAGTTTCATTTTGGTGTGTTTGGTTTTGTCTAATTTACGAGGATATCCTATATTTCCATGGGTTGGGCAGATAGTAGTTTGAAGTTAACTACTAAATACACGCTTCCGAAGTCATGCCCTCATACACTGGGTGAAACATCTTAAGGCAGTGCATGTGCTGTAGACAGCCATTGAGTGAGGAGGCCTAACCAAAGCCTGAGCTGGGCGATGAGCCTGTTTTAAGTGTCTTACATTCCTTCCTCCTTCCATTCCTTTGCATTTATACAGGCAGTAATGGGGACCTTGTATTTTGTCAGAACAGGACAACACCAGTAGATTCATGCTGTTGGTTAACTTCTTGTGTTTTGTAACTTTTGTCTTTTTAAAGTAGGCCAACCCTTGGATATTTTTAGGAGTGATTTAAGTTGGCTGCCACTGATATTTGTCCTTGGATAAGTGCTTATGGGTGTCGCAGCTCTGAGTTAGTAATGAATGATTTTCTTTTAATGGCCTGGGAATTAATACCTTACTGGTTAGGAACATTCACCTTTAAATTGCTTTTGAAAATCCTTTTAAAAACATGCACCTGGCTGTGTGCCTGATTGCAGTCATCAGGGGTAGAGGCACATCTTTGCACCAGATACATACATGATAGGAAATCACTTTATTAGCAAGGCAATAATCGTACAGTTTAAATCCCAGGAAAGATCAAACAGGGGTTAACATTTCAAGGTTTGTGGGTTTTTTGTTCAGCTTCAGTTTCCAATGTAAGCTGTACTTGTACATTACTTATGAAAGCTTTTTTATTTCAGTGACAGCTGATGAGCTATGGAAAGGAGCTTTGGCAGAGACTGGTGTGGGAGTAAAGAAAGGAAGAGGAAAGAGAAGGAAGAAAAAGCTAAGGAGGAATCTCAATAGAGGCCAGGAGGTTGGTGAAGGTAGATTCATAAATAAGGGGCTAAAGACATGTCTTGACGTTTTAGTGTATAGTGTTTCTTAATTAATTGCTGTTAATTTCTGTGGTGTCAGGTCTGCTTGAGATATTTTTGTCTTTTAAAAAAAAATCCCGATATGATTGTTTAGTGTTATTCTTAGATCTTAAATGTAAATTTTGTATCATAAAACACACTTGAAATATGTGAGAACCTTCCATTTTATTGCATTTTTCCAGCGTGCAGAGTTTTTGTCCTGATTTGGCATAAAGCATAATTTTTCTCAGTTAAATCTAAGGACGTTCTGGTTTCCTCTGGCCTGGTCTTAATGCTTCTGTCATACAAAGTGGGAGAGTCTAGACAGTTACCCAGCGAAAAAAAGAAGAACCAGAGAGAATTCAGTCTGATATTGTTCAACAGAGAGATACATGGCAGAAGAAAAGAAAAATAAAAGTAAAGAGAGAGGGAGGATGGAGTGGAAAGTGTTGGGGAGGTGTCATTCTGGATCCTCCTGACCCAGGTCCTCATGGAGGTAAGAAAACTGATTATCAGTTTTGTCTTACTTAGCCTTTCTGATAAGGGGCTTGAAGAAAGTGAGATCCAGATTTTTCTTGTGATTGAAAACAATTTTCTATACTTCTCTTATGTGCCCATACATGAAGCAAGGCAGCTAAATCGAAGAACAAGTTGTGTTAACACAAGTGAAATTTGTTAAATCACTGCTTAGTTTAATATAGCTGTCAGACTATTGTGTTGTGTTATATAGACTGTATGATGTTATCCTGTACTACAGAGTACTGTATTATGTTGTAGACTTACAGGAGTATTGAAGTATAGAAATATTTTTCTGTGTTCATCATCAGTTGTCTTGAGTTTGAAATAGAGCCATAGTTTTTTATAGTTTCTTAAAGAATCCTGTGGGATAAATCAGACTTTTTTTTTTTTTCCCCCCCTAGGCCTAATAGTAAAATATGGTTAAAGATGATGTAGTTTGAATGTAGCTAACGTAAGTTCTTTATTTATTTGCTGCCAAGTTAAATATCATAGTGAAACTAGAGGTCCTATACCTAAAGTGAAGAGGTGACCTTAACTTTTTTAACAATGCTGTTATTCAGACCACTAGAAATTCTACAGTAGCTTTGTTTAACATTTAGTAGCCTAATGCTTTTCAACTAATTAGATATGAAAGTGAGTTGTTACTGGTATTCAGCTGAGATTTTCTTGAGGCATGTAATGTTGCTTGTGTGCTTATTGTCATCTTTCTGTAGGCTTTTCTAGTAAGATGAGCTAAGACAGCTGAAGTTTTCTAGCACTGTTGTTTCAGACTTGTTGCAGTCATTCTAAGTTTGTTCATGTTTTCAGAGCTCTTTGTCCAGGAATATGTTCTCCCAGTGCAAGCTTGGATCTTGGAACGTATGTTGGAGCAAGTCAATGTAAATGAGAAATCACATGCATGGAATCACAGTTATATTATTGTCTGATCTTGCAGTCACCTTTGCTCCCCATTCTGTCTGGTGTTTTGTTTTTAAATTTATTTCTGTCTGTGAATACTTTCTGATTACATTCTATTGGATAGTAATTAAAAATTCAGACATGCTTTGAACCAAGCCATAAGATAGTAAGAGCATTGTCTTTCCAGTGTGAGATAAAACCCTCGTCTGTGTGGATTGAAGTTATGCTAGCATTTTTGTATCTTTCTGCTTTATAGATTCATGCCATTGTTGCTGTCTACTACTCCTCTGTTCCCTTCTCAGGCTTTCCATTCCTGTAGCTGGTATAGATGATTTTGTGGTTCCTGTTGCTGCAGTGTCTGAGGCATATAGTTCCCGTCATGTTTACCTAGTGAATTTAAGGAGAGTTTGCCTGCCATCTCTTTGAGTAGTTTTTGGTTGTCTTCAATTTTAAGAGCAATTCATTCTGGTTTAATATCAGCATAATATTCCAGTACACAAATGAAAGATTTCCTGTATTTACTTCCCTGCATTTAATTTCATTACGTTGAAAGCAGATATTACATGGAAGGCAGTGATGTGACAGTGCACTTGGCAGAGTATCACTGAATCTTAAAACTGAAAAACAGAAGATTTGAAAAATCAATAAATTGTTCGAAATTCCCCATAAGTCAGAGGTGGAATATGCAAAAAGTCAAGAAAATTTCATGGTTCTAGTTCCATACTTTGAACACAAGACTGCATTGTTTTTAAATTCAAATATGTTTTCAAGTATTTTATTCCACTAAAAGAAGTGGCAGCTGTTACAGACATTAATTATGTATATATGAGTTTTACCTTCTGGTGCTTTTATTGATTTTGCTTTTAGCTGATACTATTGATTTTGATTACTTGCATTAAGGTTGGCTGTGTGGAGGCTGTAGTAGGCAGGTCAAGTTTTGCCAAAAATAGGAAAGTATACTACAGTCAAAATAGGAAAATGAAACTGTTAGCTTGTATTATAAATGTGCTTGAGAAAAAGCAGTTTCTGATTAGTATACACTAATTTCCCTTTAATCTGTTAAAAATTGGAGGGATTTTCAGGTCCTTATAGTTCTTTCAGCATCTTCTTATTCAAAGGATTAATGATTTTGCAGGGAAACTGGAACACTGGCTGTGTGCAAAGCACTGTCAAGGTGATAGGAGGAATAGACCTGAAACCGCCAAAACCAATGAATCCTTTTAGCCTGAGACTGTGGTGTGGCTGGATTCCCTGGTGTCTAAGCAAGAATGAGTTCTGACTGAGATTCTGCAGCTCAGCCCTTTCTAGTATTCTGGTATTAGATTCTCTAGTAACAAACAGAGGCTGAGTATTATGTTGCAGCTTCCTTCAGCAGCATTCATATTTGCTAATGAAAGCAGGTATAGGAAGTTTGTAGAAACCTCAATATTGTGAGCCTTTAACATCTGGCAAATTTGGTTGAAATTGACTGATACTTTAAAAAAAAAAAAAAAAATAGGGACATGCTGTGATTGTATATGCTTCATTCTTTTGGGGGGGATATTATTCCCCTACACCTTATTGTGCCAGCTATGAGTAGAGAAAGAACAGTATTTTTCATTTGGAAATAAAATTATTTTTCTTCCAAGTTTATGGTGTTTCTTGGCAACTGAGGAGGCTTCAGAGAGGGAAGAGACTGGCTGTCGGCATTCATAGCCTCTGCTGTAAGCTAGAAGTCTACTTCTTGTAGACTAGCAGATGTCTAAATTGCACCGAGGTGATCATGTTTATAATCATGGAGGTTATGTGTAAATGATAAAGCACTCTTTGGTGAAGGAATGAGTTCCCAGTTCTTCACCATTACACTGTTTTCAGCTTTTCTTGCAGAATTTCACTGAAACTACACCAACTAAATATGAAATGCTTTCATTAACACTGGTCTTCTGTGGTATACTAAAATGCTCTTGTTTGTGAGATAAGTTGGAAACTCCTCTGGCTGGAAGGATCTCTTATCTATTCTGCTTCTTATACAAAGATGTTGCATTTTATTCCATTGTCCATTGTTTTCAAAGTCAGTAGGTTTTTTTCCACTGCCAAGCTGATAATAGGGTACTCTGGGTGGAAAACGTGTCTGTATTAAAACCAGATCAATTATATTTATGCTCTCAACTGCAGAAAAGGAAACAAATGTATTTGCAATTTATATTCAGGTATTTGTGTTGTCATCAGGTTTTGAAACAAACTCAGAGAAAATGGGATCTTTTTGGCAGTATCTGTGATTTGCAGCATTTTTGCCTGCTTCTGCAATACGGATTTTGAGAAATGCTGGTGGGACTGCTGACAGCCAAGCCTAAGGGATTTGCTTGCTGACTTTTCTTACAGCGTATGTCAGGGTGAAGGTCTGTGGGTAAGATGTGACTGGGCTGCAGTTTGCATGGTTTTGTGCTCTCTCATTTGACTTACTGTCTTCTCAGACAGTACACGTAGAGATGCCCATGTCACACCCAGAGCTCTCCTTGCTCTTTTCTCTTCCACAATATTATAAGGCATTTCAGAAACATCTTACTGCTTTAAAGTCCCTTGTAATGACAGAGGAGAAAACTTACTTTCTGTGCGCGGGGAAGGATACATTTGCCACTTAGAGCTGAGTATGTAATGTTCACCAGAGCAGAGCTCTGTATTCAGTATTTCATTGCCACGGTGATGAAAAGACTTGAATGAAGATGTGACATAAAAGCGATCTTTATTTTACAATGCAAAACACCCTAACTGTTACTAGACAGAATAAATGATGCTGTAATTGTCTTTGATTGCAAATGCATTTTTTTCAGGCAGAATTTGAAATTGAAAGAGGGAAAAAAAAAAAGTGTGGCTATGTGATTCTTGATTATTTGAAGTGGCTATGTATTGTTTTGCTTTATCCTCCTCCTCCCCTTTGTGAAATTTCACAAGAAATACGTATCAAATACTTAAAATTTCTTTGAGTCCCTGTTGATTGTCTAATACAAGTTTCAGAATATTCTCAAAAATATTGGATAATAGTTTGGTCATGATGGAAGTGGCCATTTGGTGATTTACATTTTTAGTTTTTAGCCATTCACAGATTTTGCTCAATGTAAATGAAATTTGGGGTTCATTTAGTGTTTTAGAGCGGTGTTTAGGAAAAAAAGGCAGGTTACACTGCCAGACCATGAAAACCCAAAACATTCTGGTTTTGTAACATGCTATGGATAGTTACTTTTCATAGCATTTCTGCAATTGAAAAGAATTAGGAAGAAAATAAGATAAAATTTAACAAAAATGCTTCAGTGTAAGTGGTGAGTTGCAGTGATTTCCAGAAGAAATTTTCAGATTTAATTTGGAAAGTATGTATAGCTTAGCTTGTGATCAAAATACTCAACAGATTCCGAGGATGTCTCAGTTTTCCTATCACCTTTGCTTTCTGTGTGATGTTCAAACAAAGCAGTTAAATTTGTATGTCTTGCTTTACTATTTAAAGAAAATTCTTCTTTTTCTTCCTTTGTGCTAGTTTGGTTATTTAGGTTGGACTGTCTTTGAAGACTGTTTCCATCTTGCTTCCCTGCATGCATGGTACTTAAAAAACTGAGATACTGATTGCAGCTGGAGGTTGGGGTCACTAATAGAGCACAACGAATGTATTTAACAGTTGTCATCTCTTAATTATAACAGGAGCTGTATAGTAATTATAGCAAATAGTATTTCACTTTCTGGGAAGTTATAATTTTAACTGGATTTTCTTTAAAGGTAGTTTTCTTCATTAAAGTTGATTTTACTGAAGAAATTAAAAAGCTCTATGATTTATAAGGAAGAGCTATATGCTGTTTTTTCACTGACGTAAAAGAGATTGAATGGAGTCAAGTAAAGACATGTTTGAGGTCTTTTAAACAGGAAGCAACTAAGAAAGCTCACTTTAGATAGGTTTGTTTAAATGATTACCTCTTTTATTTACTGCTGACCTTAATTTATAAATGGCAGCTACATAAAAAATTGTGTCCTTTTTTAATTATACCAGCTACGGGGAGCTGTGCTGATAGGTGAGTAATACAAGGAAATTTAATACTCTCTTTTTCTCCCAGCAGAAACTTACGAAAGATTTTGAAACAAGAATCATTGAGGTAAGCATTACAAATCTTTTCAAGGTCTTTAAATAATTATCACTATTTTATATTGAGCTTGCAATTATTTAACCAGTCTTTGCTAAGTCAGTCTTAGCAGTAGGAATTAGTCTGGTATTCTGTTTCAACTGCATGACATAATCTGTCATTTTTTGCACTGGGGCCTTATCTTCTCTGAGCAAACAGTGTCTAATTCAGAAGTGGTTTTGAGTAACTCTGAAATGGCAAATGCTTGCAGATAACGCTTTAGTAGTTCACATGCAACCATAATAGGGAACCTAATAAAGTGTTAGGGTTTTTTCTCAGACAAAAGTACAAATAGGAAGTTGTATAACTCTGTAAAATAAATAATTACTTAAAGTGAGGGAACAGCAGCAAGGACAGAGAGTGTGGAATGAAGATCCCCTTTTGTGTGCCTCTCAAGTAATAAAATACTTGACTTGCGGAAACACGACTCCACAACCTCTAAGGTTATAAAGTAGGTGTGTTGTTCAGCACGGAGGCACATGGGAGATCATTCCACTACAAACATGCGCACCTCTCGTGGCACCTTGTCTTGGCTTTATGCTAGAAAGCATTACATATTCATAATACACCTATACATATGCATAACCTATCCCCACTTTGTATTATAATGAGCCTGAAAGTCTTTTTCATACGTTCCGCTTCAGTCTCCTTCTAGTCGTGTCTGCACAGTGTGTCCCAGTGGTCATGGGCTGGGGTCGCAGAGATGAAGTAGCTCCTCTTCCTCACTGTTGAACTTTTTCCCTCAGTTTCTTGTGCAGTCTTTGTAGCCTCCTGGACTCAGGCCGGACCATAGGGTTGGTTTTGACCAGTTTTTAGGGATGTCTTCCTATTCCATCAGGTAGCATTCTCTCACAGCTTCCATCAATCAAAGTTTCCATATTGTTCTGCTCTCTGGCCCATAAACTATGATCTATTATCCTATTTTAATCTTAGTTATCTTTTAACTAATAGGCCTGTAGTGCCTAGCCTGATCTCTAAGTCTTCCATCTTTATCTCTAAACTAAGTTATACCTTCATTTCTTGAGTGCCAATTTCTATATCATATTTTAATTTCCTAGCTTCTCATTTCATACTCACTTGTCCTATATATCTTAACCTATGATATTTTTATCTTGTCGCGGATAAAAGTATTAACACGGTAATGATTTAACAGGAATCTTAGATTCATTAATAAATAACAGCAATTGATGGTTTACAAAATAATTTAGAAGATGTTATGAAAGAGTGACTTATTTACAGATTCTAGGATAACAAGATTCACACTAACTTACTTCATGGTATGTTAATTTATACATATGTACATGTGCATACACAAACACAGAGATAAAAGTATTCGGATCCAGTATAATGAAGTATGTACCCACACACCAGTAGGTAAAGAAAGAGTGGGTGAAAGAGAAGCTAGCTCAAAGTAAAATTTCCCTCTTCTGGAGTTTAGAGTAAATCCTCACAATGCCTTGGCATTCCTCAACGGGCAATAATTGAGACTCAAGCGGGTTGACTTCACCCTGGCCTTCTGTCAGCTCTGTCAGCAGATGACACCTTAAGGGTTTTGGTACGCGAGAGGCGTCCCAGCTCAGGGGAGATGCTGGTCACAGGCCTGCTGCGATCCAGGAGAGCTCAAAGGGTCTCTCTTGTGGTTGCAATTTATAGGGTCCAAGATAATTGACTTTTGTCAGATACCATTTGCTCACACCCAGCTGAGCCAGGCTTGATTTGTTACCAGTCCTTATCTCCAGATTGGTGTATAGCTTGGAGAAGATGGGTGGAATCACACCTAGCACCAAGCAGCCCAACAAGGAGGGGCAGGGAGGTGTAAGAATTGTACTACTACACTTCTGGGAAAAATATTCCAACAAGATTTCCCATTCATAGTTTTATATCCACTTTGTTCTTGTGCTTATTGACAGAGTAAGGATGATTGTTATGACTGGACTAATGCAAGCCTTGTTTCCACCCTCATTTCTAAATAGATTATATTGCTTATCTACCTATCAAAACCAGTAACTGACAAAGATGTCTGTGCTCCAGTATTTTCCTTGTCTGGTTTTTAGTAAACAAGATCTAATACCTGTTGATAATCCTGCTACCTTTGTTTGCAAATAATAAGGTTGTCTCCCACGTGCTTGTCCTGTAAACTTAATCCTGGCTGGACAGCATAGAATTCTTCTCTGTACTCCTAACTCTTGTGTCCGGCTGACTAGGGCCTCTTAATGGAAGTGTGAAATATTTTCAAGAACAACATACGTGCTGAAATGCATATCCTAGGTATTTAATGGAATCAGTGAATCACTGTAGAATAATTTTGTTATGGTAAATTAAGGTACAGAGATTTAAAAATATTTAATCTCTAACATGTCATGACATTTGTCACCTTTTTCAAACACAGAGCAACTTTTCAGTGTGTAACTGGTTGTATGCAGTCCCTCAGTTGGTGTGCAGTGATATTAGCTGACTAGTAAATCCATACCATTCAAGATATTTGCTGACTGACAGCAGAACTTCAAGCTAAAGGGTAAAGACCTTAACACTACCAAAAAAAAAATAGTGATCCAAAATCTTAATGTTTTCAGCAGAAACACCACTCAGAATGTGGTCAGAGAAGATACTTATTTCAAATGTGATAAAGGTGGATTTTGCTTCAAAAACAAGCTAGTTCATTGGTAATATTTTTTTTTTACTGGTGAAATGTAAAATGTTAGTAATGCAGATATGTGGAGCCATGTTACTTCTCAATGGAAAAGCCATTGCTGAAGAAGACAACTTGGAACTTGTTCCTAATCACACTATGAACAGTAAGTGCTGCACACACCCACACTATCACAAGATATTTTATTATTCCCATTTATTAGTATTTTTCTTTAATTTCAAATACATTAGTTACTATGGAAACCATAGAACTAGTACAAGCATTGTTGGAGGGGAGTCATGGCTTTAGAAATAAATTGATTTCTTGTGACTCATTTGCTCCCAGTCCAGAATCAGATGATGCACAGCATACAGAAAGGAGCAGCTCTGGAAGTGAAAACAATTATTTGCTCTCTATCCTTGCATGTTCCCTACTTTTCTACTTGCATTGTAATTTTAGTGAGACTTGTAGTAGCAGTGGCCTAATCGTTTCCAGCTCTGTGTCCAGAAGTTTGTTTTTTAGACAGCTGGAATATCAAGCTTGTTTTTTTTATTTAAATACCTAATGTGTTAAAAGGACTTGATATGTGCTAAAATGACTGATCCATTGCCTACAGCGTGACAAACTGTTTCCAGCTGGGGTCTTCAGAAAGCCCCCAGATAAGATTTTGCCAAGCTGGTTTCATTTCACACGCATCCTTTTTAAAATCCTTTGTCTCACAAAACTGGCAAGAAATTATATACTCTTAATTAGTACTTGATTAGCACTTGAAAACAGTTATTTTGTCTCAATATTTTGCACTGTGGTCATAGTAAAATCTTATATTTGGATTTTAATCTCTTTGAGACAGCAACATTCCTCTACACTGCATATCTCTAAGCATGCTATTGTTACTGATTTTATTATCAATTGAAATTAAATTGTGTTTTATTTTAACATAAGTCTGGAATTAAGGGATATTTTAGTAAAAATAATTTTACATTTATTGTATTTTGAATCTCGCAACTGACTGCTACTCTAAAATCCCCTGTACAGCCCTGTACCAAGGCTGAAGGGATTGGTCATAATTGTTTAGTAGGAATGGTTAGAGCCTAGGTAACAAAACACAAGGTGATTTGTAAACTGATTTATAATACATACATAGGACTAGAAGAATGCAAGTAGTTGTCAAGGTCCAGGATTAATGGGAACTGAGGGAAGTAACTGTAACAGCTTGCAGGTACCTGCCAAGAAAACTGTGTCCTTAAGCAAAAGGTAATTCCGGCAGGGGGAGATTGCGACCACCTACTCACATTACACCCCAGATCCATTTCTAGACATTTCTAAACTTTACTACGCAGAATCGGAAATAGGAGGAGAATATGTTAATGATTTCTTGGAAGTTGTATGCTTATGTATGGATACTTAATGAATATGTATGAGTGAGTTCTATATAAGGTGTATGATTCTGGTGCCTGGCACGTGTTGTTGGTGAGAGCACTCCCCTAAATGTCCGGCTGCCAATAAAGAAGTGTCTGCTTATCTACATCACATTGGTGTCAATAAGTTATTTTTATCCCGGATTTCGGTGACAGTTTCTGGGACCCAGATGGGACCTCGCTGAGAGAGACAGGATCAATCCGTAAGGCTCTCTGCAACGTCCCCTGGATTTTGGAAGACACTTCTCCTTTGTATTGGTTTTGTATTGGTTTTACATTCGTTTTAGATTGGTTTTTCATTCGTTTTGGAAAAGTGGGTTAGAGTCCCACATTCGTTTTGGATTGGTTTTGCATTCATTTTGGAAAAGTGGGTTAGAGTCCCACTGCACAAGCCTGCCTGTCAGACGCGGCGAAAGCTGCGCAGGGTTGGTCTAGAGGATCCTTGTGTTTTGGAAGCCTAGGCGTCTGCCTGTAAGACATAAGCGAAAGCTATTGCAGGGTTGGACATTTGGATTTGGAAACAAGAAAACCTATATGCTATAGAGTTCTGAAAGGTAGTGCCTCTAACGGAAAGTTAGAAGTTTTCATGCACTCAATTGTGGGATTGGTTGTTTTGTCGATTGAATTTTGTGTAGTAATTAGGAACTGTGTTGTATTGTGTTATATACCTTTATTTGTCATAGTAATTGTAGAAAGGTGTGAGTGTGTTTGTTAAGTGTGAGACGTACAATTGAGCACGAAGCGAGTGCGGAGTTCGGATCCGCGGTTCTGTTATCCCATGAGGGGTGCAGCCAGAGAAGGACGAAGCGATAGACTTGAGCAAGTGATTGATTGTATATTGTGTTAACAAAATAACTGAACCATGGCATCTAAGCTGACTCATTTGTTTAAAAGTAAAAGTATGTGTAATCTGGCTGCAAATGACA